CAAAGGGGAGGTAATGGGAACCTTCAATCTGTAGCCTCTAAGTCAGAAGCAGAGGTAACTGCCTGGGTCTTGTGACCAGACTGGAGTCAGGGGTGGAGGGCAGTCTTGTAGAACAGAACCCTCACCTGGGGAATCTGACATTGTCTCCAGGCAGACAGCATCAGGTAGAGTTGAGTTCTCCAACACCCTGCTGGTGTTCAAGAACTGCTTGGTATTACGTGTGGGAAGACCAACATACTTAGACACACTGGAATTGGGTCTGGGAACCCGAATGGAGTTATACTACTACTGCTGCTGTGTATAATATTGTTATTTATGCATATATGTAAGAAAAGCACACACCATCGCAGAAAGAGATAAGAGACAAACCCCTGAGTAATGCAAACTACTGAGAAATGATCTTAGTAGGTACAGTCTGATACAAAGTTTAGAAACATGTCAAACAATTGTATGTGTAGTTTGTAAAAGTATAATTAATGTGCCTGGGATTTTTTAATACCAAATTAAGTTCAACAGTTATTTCAGGGAGGAAATACTTTTTTTTTTATATGTCTGTAACATTTCACATTTCACCAAATACTGTCTCTTATTCTAGCCTTACTTGAATGAACAAAAATGCAGTATGGGAGAAAGCATGTTTAGCTTGCCATATATAAGTAACTACTAGTGTGGCATCTGTGAAGATAGCTATAACTCTCCATACCCTCACTGACTGCTCCTTACCTGTTGCTTCTGACTTCTCTGATAACATCAAACAGATTACAAAGAAAGTGGAACACCTTGAAGAAATGGAGATATTTCACCATGACATCATATTTAACAGATCTCTCATTCTTAATAAGAGAGTACAGGAGGGTAGAATTCTTATTTTCTAATATCAGTTGAGATTGTATTTGGAAGATTAACCAGAGGTTTGATTGGTAGTGCAAAAAATACAAGTAAATAATATCACTGCTAAGGAAAAAAATTCTAGCTTGGGATCCTGGGTTTGTATAGCCCCACATTCCAAGTCATCTAATGGTCTTTTCTAGTTAGCTTGTAGAAGCTTACAGTGGAGAAAAACTTAGTTTCTACTAGGATGAATCTGTTAATACCTTGATAGAAGACTAAATAAAACTTCTATAAATGTTTGTACTTCTAAATGAAATTAAATCCTCCTATATAAGAGTATTTTAATGGTGTTTTGTTTTCTAAAATGGTCACTTATGAGGCATTAAATTTTACTGTGGCTGCCTCACTTGTTAAGGTACAAGTACAAGCCATTTCCTTACCAATCCAACAGCTAAAGGACTGTTAATTCATTCCATAAGCATTTATGGAATACCATGAGTAACAAGACCTGGTTACTTCCCAGTGTCAGCAGCTCTGCCTTGTTTGCTGAACCCATTCCTATACTCTGTCACCACTTGCACACTTTTCTTAGTAACCTGTGAAGGAAAGTGATTATATGTAAACGATACATTTTATGATGGCTTGGAGACATTGTGTACTTTTTGGTAATTTTTCCAATGAAGTGAACAAAACCAATGGGCCTGGCCCCCAGCCACTACTCTGACCTGTTTATTTCTGCTTTAGGTTGAGCTAAACAATCTATTAGTTTAATACCCTTGCTGGTCTATGTGTCAGTTATAACTAATTCATATTTTGTATGGTCTTAAGAAAGTTTAGATGATTTAAAAAGAAAGCACTTTGAATTATCTTCCACCAGTAACAACATATTTTACTTTTCTCTAATTTCCAATTTTTTTCTGAGGTTTTAGGCTCAAAATTTCTCTCTTACTCTTGAAGACTCCTGTAACAACATTATGGTTATATGTGCATTGAGGTAAGTTATTAACAGTTGTTAACTTAATCCTCTTTAAAACTGTAAGAGTTAACAAAATGGATCAAAGACCTGAATGTAAGTCATGAAACCATTAAACTCTTGGAAAAAAACATAGGCGAAAACCTCTTAGACATAAACATGAGTGACCTCTTCTTGAACATATCTCCCCGGGCAAGGAAAACAACAGCAAAAATGAGCAAGTGGGACTACATTAAGCTGAAAAGCTTCTGTACAGCGAAAGACACCATCAATAGAACAAAAAGGAACCCTACAGTATGGGAGAATATATTTGAAAATGACAGATCTGATAAAGGCTTGACGTCCAGAATATATAAAGAGCTCACACGCCTCAACAAACAAAAAACAAATAACCCAATTAAAAAATGGGCAGAGGAACTGAACAGACAGTTCTCCAAAAAAGAAATACAGATGGCCAAGAGACACATGAAAAGATGCTCCACATCGCTAATTATCAGAGAAATGCAAATTAAAACTACAATGAGGTATCACCTCACACCAGTAAGGATAGCTGCCATCCAAAAGACAAACAACAACAAATGTTGGCGAGGCTGTGGAGAAAGGGGAACCCTCCTACACTGCTGGTGGGAATGTAAATTAGTTCAACCATTGTGGAAAGCAGTATGGAGGTGCATCAAAATGCTCAAAACAGACCTACCATTTGACCCAGGAATTCCACTCCTAGGAATTTACCCTAAGAACGCAGCAATCAAGTTTGAGAAAGACAGATGCACTCCTATGTTTATCGCAGCACTATTTACAATAGCCAAGAATTGGAAGCAACCTAAATGTCCATCTGTAGATGAATGGATAAAGAAGATGTGGTACATATACACAATGGAATACTACTCAGCCATAAGAAGTGGAAAAATCCAACCATTTGCAGCAACATGGATGGAGCTGGAGAGTATTATGCTCAGTGAAATAAGCCAAGCGGAGAAAGAGAAATACCAAATGATTTCACTCATCTGAGGAGTATAGGAACAAAGGAAAAACTGAAGGAACAAAACAGCAGCAGAATTACAGAACCCAAAAATGGACTAACAGGTACCAAAGGGAAAGGAACTGGGGAGGATGGGTGGGCAGGGAGGGATAAGGGGGGGGAAGAAGAAGGGGGGTATTAAGATTAGCATGCATGGGGGGGAGGGAGAAAGGGGAGGGTGGGCTGCACAACACAGAGAGGACAAGTAGTGACTCTACAACATTTTGCTAAGCTGATGGACAGTAACCGTAATGTGGTTGTTAGGGGGGACCTGATATAGGGGAGAGCATAGTAAACATAGTATTCTTCAGGTAAGTGTAGATTAAAAATTAAAAAAAAAAAAGAAAGAAAGAAAGAAAAGGGGGATTACTCCTTAACAGGATAAAACTATTGGTAAATCAAAGATCAACGCATGCTTTAAATATCCTTAATGTTGATCACTTAAAGGGTGTCAGATGATCAGCTATGGAGGTACTCTTTTCTGATAATATTCCTTTCTCTTAATAAAAAAAAAAAAAAAAAGCAGTTACTGTGTGCTGACCTCCAATGAGTTCTGCACAGTGGTATAGAGGGCATGTCAAAGTGTGGGCAAAGGGTCTGTTTGTTTCTACGCAGAAGATCAAGGCCTAGCTTGGATACCCAGAAAATGAACTAAGATACGATATGAGGAGGAGCTTCCGGCATCAGCACTCTCTGGAGGACTCGTGCCGGGGGATGATCATCAAAAAGCCTCCACAGGGATCCGGACGATGCTGCGGTTGTGGCTGCATCCAGCCCACCGTCTCCTGGACTTGCCATAAGAAGGAGGAGGGAGATGTCTAGGCTGGCATGTGCATACAGTGAGACAACGAATTTGACTGGATCTGTACTGTTGGAACTCAACCAGGAGTTGGGAGGGGTGCAAGTTGTAGCACCCCAAAATCTCATGACTATAGACTATCTATGGTTAAAAGAACATATGGGATGTGAACAGATCCCAGAAATGGGCTGCTTTAATTTGTCTGATGGTTCAAGTACAGTTGGACAATATCCATCATATCATAGATAAATTTTCACAAATGCCTAGGGTGCCTAAATGGTTTTCTTGGCTTCACTGGAGATGGCTGGTAATTATAGATTTGCTTTGTTTATGTCACCGTATTCCTATTATGTTAATATGTGTGTGCAAATTAGTTAGTAGTTTAAAACCTATACATACTTAAGGTACTATACAAGAAGATATGTCAAAGAAATAATCAATCCTCCCAAGTTTCCTTCATATGCTACATCTATAGCTTTTCTTCTTCCTTCCTAATTACAACCCTTAAATAGAATTCGTGCCTCATATCGAATTTACCGAGTATCATAATTCCTCCAGGTGGTAAAGATACCTCGAGACAAGTGCTGGGCATAGAAGCCACAGGGCATAAATCTGCAAAGAAGTAAAAAGCTAACCTTTGCAAACAATATGGCTTCTCTCTCACTTACCAACTTTACATTTCCCTGTATGGCCCCGGAAGATGACTGGTTAGCCAGAGACGGGTAAGATTCCTCAAGGGAGGAACAACCTAAGACAGGCACAGTCGCAGGGGGGCCATCAGGTGAGAATTTGGGGATCAACAGAGGTGAGGCTCAGAACCTCACCCCCCCTGCTTTGAGAGAAATCTTCTGCATCCGTGGATGTCTTGCTGCCCTTGTCTAGCCTGGATTAATACTTAGTCCATAGGCACACACCTGATCATCTGATCATCTACATTTGCCCTCTTACAGCACTAAACTATGTTTTCTACCTTTATCTTGCATCTACCTACCACTTCAGCATTTTATTAAAAATAAAAATAATAATAATAATAAAGGGAGAAATGTGGGATCCACATATAAATCAAGTATAAAAATCAAACGAATATTCATATTTGACCTGATTGTTTATAGTTCATAATGCGTGATCAAAACCGAAAGTTTCTGTGATGACTGCCCTTGTACTGTTCACCATGTAAGAACTTATTCACTATGTAAGAATTCATTCACCATGTAAGAACTTGTTCGTTATGCTTCAGAAGATTAGAGACTGACAAGAATTAGGCTTGAGATGGATTAATGATTGTGCATTGAGCATTGACCCCCCTATACAGAATTTTATTGTTGTTAACAACCATTTGATCAATAAATATGAGAGATGCCCTCTAAAAAAAAAAAAAAAACCTGTAAGAGTTAAATGTGCACAAAAACCGTAAGCACGTGCCGGCACTGGTAAGGGAAAAGCCCGAGGATTCAGGGATGGCCAAGGCCAGAAGCCTACGACCTCGTCGGGTGGCCCCGGAGGCACGGCAGGTGCAGTGGAAGCTCGGAGAAAGCGGGGGTCCCCGGCCTAAGGGCGCGAGGCCCTGAAAAGGAAGCCGAGAGTTCCTCCACTAACCCACGCTCAGAGGTCACACATTCAGATCCTGCGGTGTTGGGGTTCGTCATTTCACTTCACAGAGGACTTCGCGAAAGGAGGAACAGAGAGTCCCTGCGTTCATCCCAGAGCAGGCGGTGAGCCGGACCGCCGGGGGTGAGGCTGGAACCCGAGCGGGAGGGACGTGCGGTTTGGGTCTCCCGCGTCCCGCAGCCGGAGCCTGACACCGCCCCGCGCCGGTGAGGCAGCAGCCTGGCGGCGCCGCGGGGCTCACGGACCGCGGCGGCAGCGGCAGGCCCGGGGGCCGGGACTCACCTCCGCGCGGCTGAGCGCCATCCGGGGCGGCGGAGGACCGGCGCGTCGCGGTTCCGGCGTCGCGGTGAGCGTCGCGGCATCCCCTCGGCTTTCTCGCTCCCTCCCTGGGTCGGCCTGGGCGCCGAGGCCGAACCCTTGGTTCCCATGGCCGCGCCCGGATGTGGAGGCACGGCAGCAGGGAGCGACGCGCGCGCATAGGCTTCTTGGGGCCTCGCGGCCCTGCTGCCTCCTTCCCGGACCAGCTCCTGGTCCCGCGCACTTCGAAGAGACCCCTCACCGAGTGCGTTTCGGCGGGGGCCGAAGGGCGCCTCCACGCAGCTCGCGCCGGGGGCGAACGTGCGCGGCGGCTGAGGCTTGTTTGGCCGATTTGTCTCGCAGGTGGAGATCGTTTCCATTAGAGGCAGGTGCTCACAGCCTTTAGGTGCTTTCCTGCTGACCTCCTTTTTATGTTGTGTTTATTTTTATATCACTGTTATAAATGGGAATGTCTTTAGAAACGAAGTGGCTAGTGATCGGTAAAAACATAAGTAAATGCGCAGCTTCAGGTGACCTGCGGGGTGCACCAGCTCCCTGGAGGCCCCTCTCTCAAACCCTCGGGCCGGAGCCGTGAACACAGCCCCACGCTCGGGTCCGGCTCGTGGAAAAGCGGCTCTTCTGATCGGATGCCCAAATGATGTCGATGGTCAGATACCTAATGCTCTGAGAAAGATGGAGAGGGGAAAACAATCCCTCCTGGCTACCAACCGGCGATGCTGTCGTTTGCCAGTAGAGGGGGTGGGATTATTTTTCATGTAATAATTACCTTGATGCACAGAGCATAAAAGCGTTTATAAAAATGTGTTTCCCTGTGAAATAGCTTATTCGGAAATAACGTTTATCCACGGTGCTTGGGTTTTCTCGAAGTAGTTATGTGTTGTTTATTTGGTTCTGACTCAGGCAACGTTCCATAAGTCGATATTACCAATTATCTTCACATCAGTATTTATGACGGAGCCACAGGTACTTCATACTTTAGTAGGAGTTAATTATACATTTATTGGCTAAACAAACATTTAATGGTGTGTATATTTTCTTTGACCAAGACTTTTAATCGTTTTGTTGTCTGTGCCTAACATAACTAGTATTATTTGAAATTCCTGTATTTAGTAGTGCAAAATGATAAATTGTAAGTTTTCCTTTAAGATTCTTCATGTGCAGAACACTATAATGCCTATATCAAGTCCAGTGCTCCTTTGTACTGTATTAGATTCTCTCGCTTTTTTTTAATCTCAAAGTTTGTCCAGCTAAATTAGCTGTCAAAGCATATGAGGGGTTCTGCAGTTAAATGGTGACCGTACTGCCCAGGAATCCAGGAAAATATCCAGAGAGTAGCTGGAAGAGTGGTCACCTGTGGACTTTATTTTATCTATGATCTATTTAATGCTTTTTATTTAAACCTACTTTGTCTGATATTAATATGGCTATCACTGCTTTCATTTGTATTTACCTGGTATATCTTAACCTGTAATTCTATGTCATTTTGTTTTAGGTGTATCCCAAATAGCATATAGTTGGAGATAGATTTTTTTTTATGATTTGAGATTCTTTGTATTTAAGAGGAAGTTTGGACTTATCATGCTAAATAGTATAATTGTTCTTATTCTGTCATCTTCTTTTTTTTTACTATTTGTTATGTTGCCTTACTCCTGTTTTTCCCATCCTGCTTTTGCTAGTTTTTCTTGCTCTGGTTTTGCCTCTAGTAATTTAGAATTTAGACATCCTATTTTTATTTAATTAGCAATTACTTCAAAATAAAAAGAAAGTGAACATCTGTTTCTTTACCGGCATTAAGAATCTATTAGTATAGATTCCCATGGAAATGATGAGTCACATACTTTAGTACCTCCCTTTGTTCCTACCTCCTACTTTTATTGGAATCATTTGGCCTTTTTAAAACCATTATTATTATTTATCTTTTTACACCTCTTAGGAACATTTTCTGCATTTTTGTTTCCTTACATAGCCATGTTAACTGTGTTAAGAACAATTACTTAGACATTAATTTTTAAGTTTAAAGGTTACAATTTCCATCTGTTTCTTTTATAACATGTTTCCCCAATATCGAAGATCTGTATTTTTGTTTACTTGATACTGAAGTATTTCTTTGAGTGGCTTTTAAAGGAGAGTATGTATTTGAAACTTTGCATATCTGAGAATATTTATGAAGTGTATATTTTTCAGATATAACAGCTGTAACTATAGTAAGGTTCCTAAGGAAATGATTATAGTATGCAAAGATGTATATACAAGTACACTTTACAGTGTTATCGCAAAAGCCAAAGTTAGAAACTAATAAGCATGTACAAATAGAAATTGGTCAAATAAAATAGAATTTTTGCCAGTCATTATTGCAAACGTAATAGTTTTATCACTTTTGTCACCTAACTGCAATTAATAAAAATATAATTAATCATTTTGCCTGTTCCTTGTGAAAATTATAACAAATTTAGACCATACAATGCAAACATCTGCATGCTTAGCTGTTAACATTAATATTCTATTTAGTATCTTTTTCAGTTTTTCAATTAAATTAGCTTTTTCATTAGATTGGCTAAATATGTACTTATTATTGAAAAGATATTTTAAAGAAATTTAATTTTAGTCTATTCCTTCTAGTCACTCCATGGATTCTTTGGGGCAACCTAAACCAGAAGATAACCAGTCCGTAGTCAGCAGAATGCAAAAGAAATACTGGAAAACTAAACAAGTCTTTATCAAAGCAACAGGAAAAAAGGAGGATGAGTACGTGGTGGCATCTGATGCCGAACTGGATGCTAAACTTGAGGTAAATCTGAGGATTCTGTGTATTTGCATATAACTGGCTATTATTTGGGACTACAAGGAAGACTACACCAAGCTTTTGCACTTAAGAACTTAACAGGATAAATGTAGATTTGTAATAGAATGTTTAATTGTATGCATCTGTCAATCAGAACAGAGGTCACAATTATCACAAATCGATATTTGATAGAAATGGTATTAATAAATTAGATAAACAATGAATTAAGTAATTTCTGGCATAAGTATTATAATTCTTAAGCTATTACTGATTTATATTCCTAGTGGAAGCATATACTCATTATATACCATGTCATCATGTTTTGTATACTTTTATGTGAAGCCTTATACCTCACTGAAGTAAATTAACTGAACTCAAATAGTGAGTAAGGATTTTATAAGTTTTATTTTTAAAGCATAGAGTTATTGAAGTATTTCATAATACATTTTTTGGCTCTTGTTTTCACTTTAAATAGAAGGAATAATTACCATGAAACAACTTAAAACCTATAAGTAATTTGTACTTTTAAGTAATTAAGCTAATTAGAAGAAAGTCTCATGTATGTTAATGTAACATATAAAGTCTCAGGAGTTTTAAATGCAGATTTAGTAATTCCATGTTCATATGCTAATTTAAGATAAATTTTACAAATATTTCCAAGCAGGGGCTCTGTTATACTTGGAATATAATTATCTGTAGGTATTCTTAAAAATATAGGTCCAAATCTACTAAATTTTTTATTCTACAAAAAGTAAACATATCATCGCATAACAAATATGGAAGTAGATAACAAGTTAACAAGCTATTACTATTTATGTTGAAAAGTATTCCTACTAGGATTCAATGACAAATGTGTAAAAAATTAAGGGACTTTATAAGTAAAGTAATAAATTATAAGTAACATGTTTTAATGCTAAGGGAACTCTTCATTGTTTCCACGTGTATAACCTCATAAGTAGGTTTTTTGGTATTGTTTACTTCATTAGGTAATCAATCTATAACATTTCATATTCATGGTATTGTCCATTAGACAGGTATTTGAAATTAACTAAGAATTTTCTCCAGCATTTTTGTTTTTTTAAGAATGAGAAATATTTTCATTGTACATTTTTATCAAATCATTATATTATACAGTTTAAATATATTATAATTTTGTCAAATTATACCTCACTAAAACTGAAAAATTTTTTAATCTTAAAAATAAAAAGTAATAGTATATCAACCTAGGGAAGATGGATTTAAATTATGGAGAACAATATATAAACCATGGGAAAAAAAATCAACCATGATCACTGCATAGCATGATTTTTTAGTTATCGTTTTTGTATGCTTTTCTAGTCTTCTTCCATATAGATTTAAAGCAGCTTTTTAAATAGCCAAATACATACACCAAATCCAATTCAAATGTACCCAAACTTATATGGAGAATTGATGGTTGCTCCTTCGTTTAGATTGTAGTGTCTGTTATCACTCTACCTTAGGTCCGATCAAACATCAAAATAATAGCAAAATTACTCAGAGATAGAATATTCAAACTTAATGGTGATATTGGAAATTTATTTGATAATCAGAGTTAAGACCTAATATATACCACAGATCCAATTTCTTTTTGAACTAAAGTCTCATAACAGTTCTTTAGTGTAGGACTTTGTGAGAAGTAGGCTGCACCCTAAAACCTATGCCAACTTATTTCTCTGGGAAAACCTGAATTTATAGATGTGTGGGAAGAGTTATCTTGTATGTATAATGCGTCCTAATCTCAAGTTTTCATGTGATTACTTTGAAATGGAAGTCTACTGGATATTTTATTTTTATTTTAGCTATTAGCAATAGTAGTAATGAAGGTTTAATATTCATGGAAAAGCCTAAGCAAAAACAATTCAAAAGTAATTTATATTTGATGTTGTAAAACATTAAAACATTTTTTATGGTAATTCACTGACTGTTTTCATTAGACTAATATTGGGAGAAGAGCCAGACTCAGAGTTAAGATTTTCTGAGGTTATCTATGCTCTTTTCATCTGTGGTTGACAATGTTTCATGCAGTTTATATTGGATTTTCCTTTCTGCTATTAAGACAGTTTGGAGATGAGGAGAGAACAATCTCTATGGTTATAAATTTTTATTAGCTCCCATGTATCTATCACCATTTTTTACAACCCTCATTGGAGAAATCTAAATGTGCTTTCTACATCAGAAATAAAATCAAAACTGAAGTACATCGCAGTCACAGAAAATAGACATAATACTTACAGGAAAATGTTCTGCTTTTGAAGTGCTTATAACAGATATTTTATATTTGTTTATGGTTCTTTAAGTTGTCCTAATAAAATTTATATTTCAAAGGTTTTTCACTCTATTCAAGAGACATGCACTGAACTTCTGAAGATAGTTGAGAAATACCAGCTAAGACTCAATGGTATGGAATCATAGTAATCTAATAATTCCTATTTAAAATAAATATCACTTGCATTTTTCAAAGTGAAAGATTTAATATAAAAATAATAGTTTATTCAGCATTAGACTCATAGACACTGAGAAGATACTAGTGGTTACCAAAGGGGAGGGGTTGGAAAGTAGGGGTGGGAAGGGTGAGGGGGATAAAGAGTCACAATAATTCATAGACAGTAACATCACTAGAGGGGGTGAGGATTTAATAATATGGATAACTGTTGAACCACTGTGTTACATTTGAAACCAGTATAAGATTGTATATCAATGATACCAAATAAAAATAGTTTACTGAACTATTTTGTGAATAGTTTCTTATGACAAAATATATTTACAGTGACCTGTTCTCAAAGCCCCCAATGTCCTCAGTTTATCAAATTTTGTGACACAGATTGACTTTGCTGAGTTCAGTTTTCCTGCCCAGAGTCTTACATGGATTTGCTTCCATCACTTAAAAACTCTCTCGGCTCTTTCTTGTCATTGCAGTTACAGTCCCATTCCTCTACCCCTTTCATAGAAAAATTTGACACAATTTTGTGCAGTTTCCATTCCTTTCCTTCCACTTTTCTCTTGTAGTTACTCCAGTCAAGTTTCCATCCCAACACTCTGCCAAATTGTTCTTGTAGTCAAGAAGAGCTAAATGCAATGATCAGTTCTCAGTTCTTGTTTTGTCACATTATTTAACACAGTGGGCTATTCTCTCCTCATAGATACACTCTTAACTTGGCTTCCAGGCACCACACTTCTCTGCATTTCCTCTGCTTGGCCATTCCTTCTCACTGCTCTGCCTTTGCTGAATTCTTCTCCCCTCTTGACCTCTTCAGATAGGAACTCACATCTTTGGTTACAGTGCCCTTCTTTCATTACAGTGTCCTGTTGGACATGGCCAACTCTATGTTCTCATTTCCTAAAACTCTTTCCTCTTCAGCCATATCGATATCGATCTCCTTCATAGTAGGCTCCCTGACTTCCTTTACGGATTTGGTCAAATGTCATATTTATAGTGAGGCCTTCTCTGACTCCCATATCTAAAATGAAATACCCCTCTTTCTCATAACTCTCTGTCTACTTAACTATAGTACTTAACAATATTCAACATTCTACATGTTTTATCTATTGTCATTTTTAGAAAATATGTAATCTGTACATCCCTCAAGTAATCAGATATTAAATTAATAAGACTCCCCAAGTCCAGTCCACTCTGGGTCAGGTTAACATCCATTAAACATCACAGGTTTTATTAAAGATGATATTACAGGGTGCGGAGATACCATCTTGCTCTGCTGCAGTCGTCCTTGCAGGCAGTGGGCATGGGGAGGAGCAGTGGGTTTGGGGAGCTAGCAGGTGAGACCTGAGTTCTGTTGCTTCCTCAGAAGTACTAAGGGACTTCCCTTTCAGTAACTTAAATTTTTCCATCAGTAAAAGTAGGATGAAATTAGGCATAACATTTGTCATTTTTTTTACTTTAAACTCACAGTCTGAACATTTTATGGGCTTCCCACCCCTAATTAGTCTTATTGTGACTAGAGGGTCATCTTACACTAGATCAGTGCTTCTAACACTTCACAGTGAAGGACCACTTTTTTGTTTCATGTTTTACTTTTAATCTGTTGTAAACTGACACTTTTGTAAAATACAATAAAAATGAATTTTTAGAAAAATAAAAACAAGCACAGTTATCAGATTCAACAGTTAAACTGGTGAAAGTTTCCAAACACTTTCTGAGTTTTGGTACATGTCACAGGCTGCTGACAAATGGTCCTGGACTGGCACTGACCCCTGGACTGCACTTTGAGTAGTAGTGTGCTACAGGCTACATGCTACATGACAATTTTTAGGGTTTCAGCAGAAAAACTGTTGACATCTGTGGGTCTGCGATACTGAGCACAGTAAACCGAAGCCATGGTGGGAGTCAATAAATCAGGTTAAATAGGCAACAAACACTTTGTAAGAGGCAGTGATCCTAAAATGCATCTCTGAACATTTGAAAGTATGTAATTTGTGGTTTTATTTTGACAAGATCAATCTTTCCCAAAGCAAGGTCCATGGATTCACTGCACCAAAACCATGTAGAGGGCTTGTTTAAAAAAAAAATAGCAGTTCCTCAGACCTACAAAATCAGAATCTCTGGAAATGGAGCCCAGGAATTTGCATTTTTAAAATAAGTTTTTCTTCTTCTTCCCTCAAGTAATTCTTATGTAGAGAGAATCATTACTGTGAGAATTTTAGTTGCATGTTTAAAACAAATGATGAAATGAAACCATTTACTGTAATTTTTTTTCCTAGTTATATCAGAGGAAGAAAATGAACTAGGGCTCTTTTTAAAGTTTCAAGCAGAACGGGATACAACACAAGCTGGCAAAATGATGGATGCCACTGGCAAGGCCCTCTGTTCTTCAGCCAAGCAAAGGTTTATCATGGTCTTGCATCTTCCTTTGTAGTCAATATGATAGTTTTGACATATGTATCTGAATTTGCATATTTGTAAAGGGTACTAATCATTCCACTAGATGGTTAAAAGAGAAATATATTGCAGTATATGATTGTTTTGATGCCTCTTACTTATTTTGTATATAAAATAATTACTTTAAAAATTGCCATTCTCTGTTGCTTAATTCCTGGAAATAGCCTGTAGGCCTGGATTTAAATTTCTGAAGTGTTTTAATGTAACAGAGCCATTGAATGTTTAAAATTTAAATCCATTTTAATTTTTTTGTTCTCTTTTTTGGATACTAAACTATCTACAAGTACACTGTAATTTTTGCAGAGGAAATATTTTTTTTAACTGTATACACTACATTTATCATTTTATAATTTTTTAGCATAAAAATACTGCAGCAGGGAATCTCCTACATTTAATTAAATATAGACAAACTCTTTGCATTTTCAGAAGAAAATAAAAATAGGCCTTATCAGACCTATAATGATGATGTCTAATTTAAGTGACTTTATTCTGAAACACATCAGTGCAAAAGTCCAACTTTAAAGAAGTGACAGAGACTCTAAATACAAGTCCCTCCAGTGCCACTAGGTCAACAGCAGACCAGTGTTGCTGGAACTGACTTGAGTTTCTTAAATCCTTGGGTTTTTGTCCTTATCCTCAGCTGTTAAGAACTCAATCTCATTGTTCTTCTAGCATTTTATCTGCTTTTCTGTACCCAGGCTTTACCTAAATGAAAGGCTTTTTATTTATAGGATTATGCTTTATGAGTACAGGATCTCTTTTACTCACGGAACTCTTTCCTAAATGGCAGATTTAGATCCACAGCGTTGCAAAAATTACATCTTTACTAAAATAAAAAAGGGGTGAGATAGACACATCTTTATTAACAATTCAGAGTTGGCTGTGTGATCCATGTCTGCTTTCTAAAGCTCTGTAGGCATCTTAATAATTTCCTGTTCTATAGACTCCTCTTGATAGCAAGTACGCTTTATGGTTGTTTCAAACCTTTGTTTTTGTTTTGTTTTGCTTACGGGATGCACATCCCTCTGATTTTTACCTCTCTGCCATTAGGTTGACCCTGGATACTCCCCTGTCTCGTCTTAAGCAAGAAGTAGCAACATTCAGTAACAGGGCAGTGTCTGATACCTTAATGACAATTAATCGGATGGAGCAGTCACGCACAGAATACAGAGGAGCTCTGCTGTGGATGAAAGATGTATCCCAAGAACTGGACCCAGATACCTTGAAACAGATGGAAAAGTTCAGAAAAGTATGAAAATACAGCCGTTTTCCTTGTCTTGATACATAAACTTACCGAACTTCTACAGAATAATTTAGTCAAGATCATAAAATGTCTGACTATTTTTGAAAAACATAAATTCTTGGCTGCTTGGAAATCCTTGGTAGAAATACTAAAGGTTGTCACACTTCTATTTTACTTTTTTGAGTGGTATCTCAATCCCATCAGCCTTTTTTATTAATTTTTTTTATCCCCTTTGTTATAGAACTACCTACCCTTTAAATGTTGCTCATCTGAACTTTTAGGATTTCTTTGCAGGAAGAAAATAGTTTATTAGTGAGGTAAAATATATAATTTGGGTAAAAATTCATGTAAAATTATTAATTATAAGAAAAAGTGAAAGGTATCAAATTTTTCATTCTGCCACAATATAATAGTTTGACCATAAACTTTTAAAGCAACTATCTGTGCATGCATATGTTTTTGCTAAATAAAATTTCCTAAATTTATAAATATGTAGGGGATATAAACTGTATCCCCTAAATTTACCACACACATGAATAACAAAATTCATTCAGTCGTTCATTTCATAAATACTTAACAGTACCTGTAATAAAGTCATATTTAATATCAATGGAGCCTGTACTCTCTACCTGTTGTTAGTGGTTTGCCTCATTGATTACTCCCAACAGACCTAGAAAGTAAGTGGACACATGGCCTCAGGCCACCACAACCCTGTTACTCTATCCCTTTTATAATCCTTGACAATTAGAATATAATCCAAGGGAGTGGTTGTATAACATTGTGAATGCACTGTTACTGAATCTCCTTCAATTACTCAAAATAGCTAAAATCTACCATTAATCATGAAGTAATAATAGAGGGAAAGAGAATTAGTCTTGATTACATTTTCATGTATCTGAAAATAAGTATAAGCTTATATGATATATTTATATCTGTTTTACAGTAATAATCATTAACATTCTGTGGTTGCAGGTACAGATCCAAGTGAGAAATAGCAAAGCTGCTTTTGACAAGCTAAAGATGGATGTTTGTCAGAAAGTGGATTTACTTGGAGCTAGTTGCTGTAATATGTTGTCACATTCACTCACTACCTACCAGGTACCCACCTCCATGGTCAGTATGTCCTTGCAATAAGAAATGAGTGGTGAGATTCCTTTTTAAAAGTTGTCTAAAGGGTGTGAAAAATTGTGTAGTTGATCAGATTCCCTTGACTTTCCTAAATGTGACTTATCAAGGTTATGACAGAAAATCATAGAATTCTAGGCTGAAAAAAACCTTAGGACTGCCCGCTCCTGTTGTTTCACGTTATTCTCCTTGGTGTCCTAGAAGAGAGAGAGAGAGACTTAGGGAGAGTCTCGGGTTGAGGAGGGGAAAGTTGAGGAGGCAGGATTCAAGGCTCCTTAGCCCTGGTTCACCCAGAGCTACTCCATTTGAACTTCTATATACAGTTTCACTTGAATCAGAGGAGCTGTGGCCCAGGAAGTTCAAAACTTCTGTTATTTTATGGATGAGGAAGGTGAAAGCTAGGAGAATTAAAGTTGGGCTTAAAAATCTAAGTTTTCTCATGCTAGGTCTTGTGTTCTTTTCATTCTGCCAAGTTGCCACCGCACCCTACTTTAACCTCAGCTTGTGCTAATATTACCCCAGGTCACACATAAGTAGCCGATAATAGCAATTACTGAGTTTAACATGTATTTGTAAATGGCAAAATAGGTGTAACTCCAATGGGAAAATATTTTCCCAGCCCAGACAAAAGACCTTTGAAACCAAAATCAGTCAAAGGGAGAAAATAAAGTGGGAGAAACCCGTTTACTGCTTACAAGCAGCTGTCCACTTCTGCTTTCCCATGTCTCTAGCGACCTGGCTCCACATGCAACCTCTCTGGTCCTGATATGCCCTTGGGCTCCCCTATTGTAATCTTGATATGGAGATGGACTACTTCTCTCCACCCCTTGGAAACACCTATTGATATGGAGATGCACTAAGGTCAGGTGAGAGATTCTGGAAATATTGCAGTTTTACCCACAATAGGGGATTAAACTGTATTTACATAAGAAAAAATTATAAACTAAAGGAAATAGACATTCACTGTTAATTTTTGGGACTCTGCCTAATTCAGTCAGTACTGGGGAATTCAGGAGTCAGGAAAGGATGCACTTGAAAGTAAAGTGCAATGTGTGACAAATCTGTGTAGCATAACCTGAAACACAATCGCTGTTAATTCAGTTCCCCTTTATTGTTATCCCTCAGTTTGAACAGGAAACTTGAAGTCTCAAGAAAAATGTCCAATTATTTGAGTTACCTTGAGAACACATTTTTTGGTCAGTCTTTTTTGAACCCTAAATTTTGAACCCTAAAGATTTAATGGTACATATTATTTTAATGTTAATAAAGTTTTATAATGCTTTCCAACATAAAGATTTACAAATACAATACATGTCTTTAATACAAATGTGGTCTTTTTGTGCTTTTAACATTTCTCATTTGGATTCCTCAGCAGGTGTTCTAATGTCCCAGTTTGTCTTGGCTGCAGTTACCCTCTGGCTGCTCCAGGGGACATGCCAGTGCTGTGTACAGATAGACACACATACCTGCAGACACAGATGCCAGTTCTTATACAAAATTACTGACAGTGTTTTCTGATTCCCCAAACTTGGAAACTGATTTTAGTTCCTGCTTCTAGTTAATCAGCAGCTATTCATGTACTACACTAGTGAGGAAAAGTATCATAGAGAGGAAGCCGACCTGTATCGTCACCTTCTCTTTTTCTGCAGAGAACACTGCTTGGATTCTGGGAGAAAACAGCTCGAATCATGGCCCAAATCCATGGGGCCTATATTGACTTTCATCCATATGATTTTATAGCTCTTCAGGTACATTTCTTCCCCTGTTATTTTGATAGATATATTACACTTCATTTGGGTAATAAGTTGAAACTACTTTTAGTTAAGCCTAATTTCAAATCTACAAAACATTGGGAAACATTTTCTACGTTCCTTGAGCCATTTTTCTGCAATTCCCTGATTCCAGTGTTGCTACCAGCAACACTAAACAAATACATGGGATACTGCCAGCGGGCTCAAGATATTAGTTGGGTAGGGGGAAGATAAAAGAGGAAGAAAGTGAAAAGAAAATTAGAATGCAAGGAACAGGGAAAGGTTATGGAAGGGATAAACTTAAGAGGAACAAGCGATGGAAAGTGGTCATGTGTTTTAAAAAATGGCCAGATTGCCTACATGACAATTTTGCAAATTAAAGAAAAATTTCCTTGCTTTGCTTTTCTACTCTTGTCATAGATGTGATTGGTGATACAAAAATTATGTCAGCTTTGGTCATATATGTGTGATTGCAACTGAAGAGACTGCTATATTAGATCAGCTCTTTCTGTAACACCTACAGGTAAAAGGTTCTCTCAGGCTGTGATTATAATATTTTTAACATTTGTATATCTTCCTGTCAGCCTTCTTTTCATGTAGCTATCCAGCAGACTTATACCGTGGTGATCATTTCTTTAGTTCCAGTAGTCTAGGTTTCAGTACCTTTAACTTACCATTCTGCCTTTTTTTCAGTAGAGCTTGAAAATATTGTTGGATTTGCTCAAGCTACATGTGGTATCTGTGATGGGGCCACATCTTGCAACTGTATATTCCTCGGGCTTGATAGAGACTTTAAGTCGTGTTCTGACATAGCATCTTCCATTCTAATAGATACCTTTGAATTGGTTTTTTTTGTTTTTTGTTTGTGCTTTGTTTTTTAACTTTTCCTATATTAATGTTTACTGGATAGCATATTGTATATTTAGGCAAATTTAATATCTAATTTGTGCTCAGAATTGAAGTTGAAAATCGTTAGTTGTATTTAGAGCATTTCAATACAGGTTAGCAACACAGTGTAAATCTGCTCTGGCATATCACAAAGTTCATCATATAACAAACTCCAAGGCTGGCCCAGGTCACGGTGTGTGTGGGTATCACAGCTAGCTGGGAAGAATAAGGAAATGAAGCTCAGTTCAGATTACACTGGCATACATTTCCCACATCTCTCACTCTTTACTTCAGACCTATTCCTATTTTATATTGTTCCTTAGAAGTTTTATCCTTGTTTTGCTTGCCTAGAAACAAATTCTTTGCACTTACTGAATATTTAATTTCTTATCCTTAGCAGCTACAAGGCACTCCAAGCAAGTTTACTGAAGACCACAAAGAACAAATAGAAGACAATTCTGTCACTGAAAATTTCAATAAGTAAGAGGGCAAAAGTTATTTATCATATTGCAGAAGTCCTGAATACTATTGTATGATATATTTGGAAAGAGTTTTTTGTTCTCTGGCTTATTAAATACTTACTTCAATGCCATTTTTTCAATTAACATTAAATATCTGTTTTGAAGTCTTACCCCCCAACCCCCATTTTTAATATGGCAGGCAAAACTGATGGCAGGACTACAGAACAGATTCGGGTGATAACTCTTAATTCTGTAGCTTGGGAGACTGAGCCTTGTACTGAGAGTCTCTACCTAGTGAGTCCCAGAAGGGGTAGCAGTTGAAAATCTATCCCCAAACAGAACCGACAGGATTGGGACTGGCCATCTGGAGGTGGGGGCTCTTGCTGTGCACACCCTTTGTGTTGCTTCTTTCTCCTTTATCACATCTTACCTTTGTTTTCCTATCAGAGCTGCCACTTCTCATTTTAACCAGATTGCATTGAGTACAATAACAAACCCAGAAATAAGGCCTAAACAGTGACAAGACAGTGACAAACTTGTTAATAATCTAAAATATAAGCATTTCCCCTTTTCTCTATGTGGGGAATCCAAACAAACTTTTTGGCTAACTTGAACATATTAATGTTTTAGGATGTAGGTTAAATAATCAAATGTGTAGTCATAAATTAAACTAATAATTTAGTTACACACTGACATTGAAAATCATGTTACATTAAACATATTAAGTAAACTTTTTCCATTATCACATTTCATACAAGTTTTTTTTTTGAGAGGGCATCTCTCATATTTATTGATCAAATGGTTGTTAACAACAATAAAATTCTGTATAGGGGAGTCAATGCTCAATGCACAATCATTAATCCACCCCAAAACTAATTCTCATTAGTCTCCAATCTTCTGAACCATAACGAACAAGTTCTTACATGGTGAACAAATTCTTACATAGTGAATAAGTTCTTACATGGTGAACGGTACAAGGGCAGTCATCACAGAAACTTTCGGTTTTGATCACACATTATAAACTATAAACAATCAGGTCAAATATGAATATTCATTTGATTTTTATACTTGATTTATATGTGAATCCCACATTTCTCCCTTTATTATTATTATTATTTTTAATAAAATGCTGAAGTGGTAGGTAGATGCAAGATAAAGGTAGAAAACATAGTTTAGTGCTGTAAGAA